GTGTTCTCTGAGTGTCTATAGTCATGGTGTTCACTGAGTGTCACAATCATGGTGTTGTTCATCAAGTGTCCATAGTTACAGTGTCTGTCGAGTGTCAATCATGGTGTTTGTCGAGTTTCACAGTCACGGTGTTCATAGTGTGTCCATAGTTACAGTGTTCGTCAAGTGTCAACAGTTTCCATCAAGTATCACAGTCACAGTGTCCATCTAGTGTCACAGTCACGGTGTCCGAGTGTCACAGTCACAGTGTTCATTGAGTGTCACAGTCATGATGTTCACCGAGTGTTATAGTCACAGTTCATCGAGTGTTTACAGTCATGGTGTTCATGAGTGTGTAGCTTGTGGCTCAGGATAAGTGTGTGAAAATTCCAGAGGAATGAATGCTTGAACCCAGGAGACAGAGGTTGTAGTGAGCCGAGATCATGCCACTGCATTCCAGCCTGGGTGACAGAGTCAGGCTCTGACTCAAAAAATAAAAAAAAGGTGTATCTCACGAGATTTTCCTGTGCCGCAGAAAATGTCTCCTTGTCCCAGGCCCAGACCCTCTGGATGACTCACCTGGCTGGCAGGGGTCGACAGCAGGGCCCAGTTGGTGGCTGGGTGGTGTGGAGTCTCTGCCTTCTAATCCATTTTCCCCAAAATGACCCTCACAACTTGCTCCTTCCCTATGGGGTAGGAGGTTCACTTTTTAATATATATCCATAGTGGTATTGGGCTATAATCTTTACTGCTACTTCTCCCTGGCAAATGGGCTTTCATTTATTTATTTATTTATTTTTGAGACAGAGTCTTGCTCTGTCGCCAGGCTGCAGTGCAGTGGCGCAATCTCGACTCACTGCAACCTCCGCCTCCTGGGTTCAAGCGACTCTTCCACCTCAGCCTCCCGAGTAGCTGGGATCACAGGAGCGTGCCACCACGTCTGGCTAATTTTTGTGTTTTTAGTGGAGACAGGGTTTCACCATGTTGGCCAGGATGGTCTTGATCTCTTGACCTCGTGATCCGTCTGCCTCGGCCTCCCAAAGTGCTGGGATTACAGGCGTGAGCCACGCCCAGCCAAATGGGCTTTTCGACTCCAGAACTGTCTACTGGGTGGCTGATATTTAGCCAAGCACGGGACGCTGGGGTCATAAAGATCTGGGTCTGAACCCGCCCCTGCACTTGATGTGAGCCCCCCTCCTCCTTGGAGGTTTTCTCGTCTAGACCGTGGTTAGCGATGGTACCACACCTCTGAAGAGTGAATGTGGCCACGTGGACGACGGCCTCAGCACCGTGCAAACCCAACACAGATTCATTCTTTTTAGGGAAGAGTTTTTACTTTAGTGCTAACTAAAGTAATTATCTTAATAATCAGGTAGACTGACTTGTTGTGTTAAAAAAAAAAAATACAGTGAGAGCCTGGGCAGCATAGTGAGACCCCACCTCTGCCAAATTATTTTTTTAAATTAGCTGGGCATGATTGCACACTTGTGCTCCCAGCTACTCAGAGGCTGAGGCAGGAGGATTGCCTGAGCTCAGGGAGTTGAGGCTGCAGTGAGCTGTGATCGTATCCCTCAGCCTGGGAGACAGAGTGAGACCCTGTCTCAAAAAAGACTTTTTTTTTTTTTTTTTGAGACAGAGTTTCGCTCTTGTTACCCAGGCTGGAGTGCAATGGCGCGATCTCGGCTCACTGCAACCTCCGCCTCCCGGGTTCAGGCAATTCTCCTGCCTCAGCCTCCTGAGTAGCTGGGATTACAGGCATGCGCCACCACGCCCAGCTAATTTTTTGTATTTTTAGTAGAGACGGGGTTTCACCGTGTTGACCAGGATAGTCTTGATCTCTTGACCTCGTGATCCACCCGCCTCGGCCTCCCAAAGTGCTGGGATTACAGGCGTGAGCCACTGCACCTGGCTAAAAAAGACTTTTTTTTTTAAGAGAAAATACAGTTGGCCCTCCATATTCATGGGCACTGCTTCCATGGAGTGAACCAATGACGGAGGGAAGATATTTGGAAAAAGAATGCATCTGTACTGAACAGGTATGGGCTTTTTCCTTCTCATTATTCCCTAAACGATGCGATATAACAGCTGTTGACACCGTGCTGACATTGTATGGGGTAGGACAGGTAACCCAGAGGTGATCTGCAGTATGAGGGATGGTACATTTAGGTTATGTGCAGACACCGTGCCGTTTCTGTCAGAGACTTGAGCCTCCGTGGATTTCGGGATCTGAGGGGTCCTGGAACTCATCCCTTACAGATACCAAGGGACAGCTGTATTGTGTTTTGTTTTGTTCCTTTTGAGACAGAGTCTTACTCTGTTGCTCAGGCTGGAGTGCAGTGGTGAGGTCACAGCTCACTGCAGCCTCTACTTCCTGGGCTCAAGCCATCCTCCCACCTCAGCCTCCTGAGCAGCCGGCACTACAGGTTGTGCCCCATCACATTCACTAATTTTTTTTTTTTTTTTAATTTTAGTAGTGACAAGTTCTCACTATGTTGCCCAAGCTGGTCTCAAACTCCCGAACTCAAGCGATCCTCCCGCCTCAGCCTCCCAAGGTGCTGGGATTACAGGTGTGAGCCACCACACCTGGCCGGACACTGTACTGTTAAAGTTTAGTTTTCTTTGAAACGCCCTGATGTGGAGAAGAAGCCTGGCCACACAAGGAGATCATCTGTGAAGCAGAATGCAGATGGATTTGAGTCCCACCTTTGCCACTGACAGTGCCTCAGTTTCCTCGTCTGTAAACTGGGTACAATGATGGTCCCAGCATTAGTACAGCGTTGCCGTGAGATGGTGTTAATTTGGGGAAAGTGCTTCCGACCGTGCCCGGGCTCCTCGGAGCGTCTCTAGGAAGCAGGGCAGCTCAGGTCCAGTGGTGGCCAACATTGACACCGTCAACTCAGTGCACCTGAGAACTGGCTCTAACCCCGTGGGGCTTTTGTGTGTGTTTGTGGTTCTAGCGCTCAGCCTCTGACCCTTCCCCTGCCCACCGTGGGGACCAGTTACACTGCACAGCCCACTCCCGGCATGCGCCCAGCCGCAAACCCCGCCTTTGCCCCAGCTGCTCTGGCGGGGTACAGCGGGCATCAGCCCCACTCCAGCCAGGACTTCCCCTACCACAGCCAACCCCAGGAGCCCATCCCTGCGGCCATCACTGTGGCGCCCTGCCAGGTACCTGGTCCTTTCTTTGACTAGTGTTGCCGGGAAACGTGGTAGCCTGGCATGGGTGAGAGCAGTGGGCTTCCCGCAGCAACTCCTTCTCCCAGGTCTCTTGACCATGCTCCTTCCTTCGGGATGCTTCTGCTGGGATCATGTGCCTGCGGTGGGGAGACATCAGGACAGTAGCTCCCGAAACAGCCCGCTGCTCTCCCATGCGTACCTCCACATCGGGACTGTGGGGACGGTGATGGCACCTAGGGCTTTGTCCCAGCCTCAGCAGTGACTCTGAAGGAGGAGGAGGGTCTGCTGGGTTGGAGGACCCCTCCCTGGCCACGGCAGCTGGCCTCAGCCACCTGGCCCCAGAGAGACCAGGACTCCCCCCGCCTTCCCCACGCTCCGGGTTCCTGCCGTTCTCAGAGGGAGTCCGTGGTGTGTGGGGCACACCTGGTGCTGAACACCCCCTTTCCCAGTGGAGGTACTCAGGGCTGCAGACCCAGCCTCGGTGTTCCCACTTGGTGTCACAAAAAAGTCCCCCATGACCATGCTCCAACTCACAGCCCTGCCAGCCACGCCTCGTCCCCAGATTTTGTGGGCCACTGGTACCAGAGGCCACCCTGTCACCCAAGCTAAACACCCACCTGACCCCACCTTCTTCCTCCCACCTCCATTTCCTCCCCAGGGGCTTCTCCCTGCAGGCCCACCGTCTCCTACCACACCCAGCGCCCTCTTGTAAATCGCAGTCAGACTCTTGGAAATGAGTGTTGGCTCCATAAGAGCTGCTGTGTCCGCCACACACCCTGCCCCCTGCCCCTGAGCCAGGGCCTGGTCCTGGGCAGATGCTCAGGATCCATCGCGCAGAGTCAGTGTAGCCAGGGCGGGTAGCACCTGGCATCTGAGCTGCTCTCACCGCTCTCTGTCTGTCTCCTGTGACAACCCCCCCACAGGACAATTACAGCTACCAACAGTCCACGGCTTCCAGGAGCTACGAGGAAAGGCCATACTTCCAGCCTCCTGCCCCCCAGCCTGGGCGCACGACAGCTGCAGCCTCCTGCCAGCCAGGTGAGCCATCTGCAGGGTGGGGCTGGGGCAGGGAGACATTGCTCACAGCACAGGAAAACCTCATGAAAGTACATCTTTTTTTTTTTTTTTTTGAGACGGAGCCTTGCTCTGTCGCCGAAGCTGGAGTGCAGTGGCGCGGTCTTGACTCACTGCAACCTCCGCCTCCCAGGACCAAGCAATTCTCCTGCCTCAGCCTCCCGAGTAGCTGGGATTACAGGCAAGCACCACCACACCCAGCTAATTTTTGTATTTTTAGTAGAGACAGGGTTTCACCATGTTGGCCAAGCTGATCTCAAACTCCTGACCTCAGGTGATCTCCCGCCTCAGCCTCCCAAAGTGCTGGGATTACAGGCGTGAGCCACCTCGCCTGGTGAAAGTTACATCTTAACCATCCTAGAGGCTGGGCACGGTGGCTGACGCCTGTAATCCCACACTTTGGGAGGCTGAGGCGGGAGGATGGCTTGAGCCTAGGAGTTCGAGACCAGCCTGGGCAACACAGTAAGACACTAAAAAAAAAAAAAAAAAAAAAAAAAAGCCAGGTCTGGTGGTATGCACCTATAATCGTGGCTACTCAGGAGGCTGAGGTAGGAGGAGGTTTGCCTGAGCCCAGGAGGTGGCTGAGCTGTGATCACACCGCTGCACTCCAGCCTGGGCAGCAGAGCGAGACCCTGTCAACAAAACCAAACCAAACCAAATCTAACGTGGTAGGTTTGCAGGGAGCATCAGGGCTGGCTGCTCAGATACGTCCGGGGGCTCTGCCAGGGGTTGGCCTGACTGTGGGAGAGCGAGAACCGAAAATGCAACAAACATTTTTTTCAAGGCAGCTTTCCCGGGGTGGCAGGCGGTGAGCACTGTGTCCCAGATGAAGACACTTAGGAGCTTGTCCAGGGTGCCCACAGCCCTCCTCCCCGATAGCAGGAGGGAGAAGACAGACTCTGGAAAGGAGAGGTGGGCACAAGGTCACCTGCCAGTTGCTGCCGGGACCTGGCCCAAGTCTCCGGCCTCTGGTCCCGGCTTGAGTATCTATTGTGCTCCAGCCAGCTGAGCCCAGGGCCCATCTGCAGGTGGGGGACAGTGGGGTGGGGGCCGGCTCTGCAGAGGACCTGTGCCTGTCCCCTAGGGACCCAAGAGGCCTGTGGGCAGCCCGGCCCCCACGGCGGTCACAGCCACGCTCAGCCCCCACGACAGGCGCCCATGGTGGAGGCTGGGCAGCCAGCGAGCGCCTTGTCCTCAGGCTACACCTGCCCCACGGAGACAGGCATCCAGCCCGAGGCCGCGGCATCCCTCGTGACCTCCTACCCCCTGCCCTCCTACGATGCCACCTGCACCCCCTACACGGGTAAGACCAGCGTGCCTGTCGCCCCCGCATCACCTTGGGTGGTGGGATCAGCATCTCCCCTCTTCACTGATTGTTCTGTCTGCCCCTTAGGACCAAGCTGCCCAAGCTGTGACGCCTCGGTGTACTCCACCGCAGCGCAGCCTGCGTCTCCCCCGGGAACCCCACAGCAGCTGCTCCTGCTGCCCACGCCTGTGGGCTCAGGAAGCAGCCCCAGAGCTGCCCCAAAGCTACCACTTCCCAGCAAGCTGCCAACACCCAAGGCAGGGCCCAGGCAGCTCCAGCTTCACTACTGCGACATCTGCAAGATCAGCTGCGCAGGCCCCCAGGTCAGCTGCCCCACCGCCTGGGCAGGGCTGGAGACCTCTCCGTCTCTCATGTCTGAACCCAAATGTGGGCACTGGGGGTCAGGGTCGCCACCTGCTAAGGAAGGTCTGGTGTTAACCATGCATGGTGTATGCATGTGTGTGTGTGTGTGTGTGTGTGTGCAAGCGCTTGTTTGTGTTCATGTGTGTGCAAGCACTCATGTACAAATGAGAGTGCATTTGTATGTGTTTATATGTGTGCCTGTGTGTGCAAGCATGCATGTGTGCATGTGTATGTGTGTGCAAGTGAGAGTTCATGTGTGCATTTGCATGTGTGCATGTGTGCTAGCATGTGTGTGCATGTGTGCAAGTGAGTGCATATGTGTATATGCATATGTGTATGCATGTGTGTACACATGTGCATGTGTGTGCATGCATATGTGTGTATGCATGTGTGTATGTGTGCATGCATGTGTGCATATGTATGTACATGTGTACATGTATGTGTGTATACATGTGTGTGTGCATGTGTGTGCATGTGTGTACGTGCATACATGCATATGTGTATATGTATGTGTGCATGTATGTATGCACATGCATATATGTGTGTTTACACATGTGCGTGTGTACATGCATGTGTATATGTATATATGTGCATACATATGCATATGTGTGTGCATCTTGCATGCATGTGTGTATGCATGTGTATATGTGTGCATGCATATATATGTGTGTACGTGTATGCATGTGTGTGCATGCATGTGTAGATGTGTATATGTGCATGCATATGTATGTGTGTACACGTGCATATGTGTGCCCATGTGCTTGTTTGTGGCAGTGCTCATTTGGGGCACACGTGAAGGACTCCTTACCAAATGCATGAGCTTGAGATTGTAAACGTGCAAATCACCCAGCTGAGATCGTGGGCTCATTTCCTAGAAAGATAACTAAACCCTAGAGTGCTGTGTTTGCAAAACACACACCCTGATCTCCTTTCATTTTTAATACCCTGAAAGAACGCTCTGGACCATGGAGAGACACGGAGTCGGCAATCGCAGACTCTGGAGAGGTGTGGGAAGGCTCAGGGAACTCTCCCGCCCCAGATCCCCTCTCCCTGCCTCAGGACCTCCCCGAAGCTCTCCACTGCATCTCATGCTGGGAGAGACCGTGGCATTCTTTGCAGAGTGCTCAGAAAGAAGTCTGGGGTTTTTGTTAGAGACAGGGTCCCGCTCTGTTGCCCAGGCTGGAGTGGAGTGGTGCCATCACAGCTCACTGCAACCTCCACCTCCTGGGTTCAAGTGATCCTCCCACCTCAGCCTCCCAAGTAGCTCTGAGACAGATGCAAACCACCATGCCCAGCTAATTTTTTTTTTTTTTTTGGTAGAAATAGGGTCTCGCTATGTTGTTCAGACTGGTCTTGAACTCCTGGGTTCAAGCGATCCTTCCACCCCAGCCTCCTGAGTAGCTGGGATTACAGGTGCACACCACCATGCCCGGCTGTTTTTTTCTCATTTTTTTGTAGCTAGTGCTCGACTTACGACCACGGTCGGGACAGCGGACCGGTCGTAACACGATTTGGTCGTAAGTTGAGTAGGCTATATGTATAGTTGAAATGGTGCACGCGGAGATGGTCGTGCTGCCGGAAGCTGGTCCGCACTGTCGTATGCCCAGCTGGGCAACGTTTGCGCTGCCAGACGTGGAACAGTCGTGGCTAGCGATTGTGGTCGTAAAGTCGAATGGTCGTAAGTTGCATAGGTGGTAAGTCGATCAATACCTGTACAGGGTCTTACTGTGTTGCCCAGACTGGTCTCAAACTCCTAAGCTTAAGGGATCATCCTGCCTCCGCCTCCCATAGTGCCAGGATGACAGGCTGAGTCCCCACACCTGGCCCACGTGGGTTATGTAATCCTGATAGCTGCCCTGCGGCTACCATCTCTGTGTGGCAGATAAAATCCGGAGGCTCAGAAACAGTCAGTATTTTGAGGAAATCAGAGTAAGTTTTAGTGACCCGGGCAGAAATCAGACCAAGATGTGTTGAAACCCATATGGCTAATTACTACAGTATACCCAAAAAGCACACAGACAGCCTATTGGCCAGGCACGCTGGCTCATGCCTGCAATCCCAGCACCGCTGGAGGCTAGGAGTTCAAGACCAGCCTGGGCAACATGGGTGAAACCCTATGTCTAAAAAATTTTAAAAATTAGTTGGGCATGGTGGTGTGCACCTATAGTCCTGGCCACTTTGAAGGCTGAGGTGGGAGGATCATTTGAGCCCAGGAGTCGGAGGCTGCAGTGAGCCACGATCACACTACTGCACCCCAGCCTGGGCGACAGGGCGAGACCCTTTGTCTTACAAAACAAAAACCTACCTATAATCCCACCACCCTGAAATGAATTAATGGTAGCATCTTGGTGTGTATTCTTCCAGTCTTCTCTGTTCCATAGGCAGTCTCTCTTTTTCCGAGTTAGCATGTGTGTACAGGCAGGTGTATTTACTCTGCTGCATTGGTAATATATTTATGAGGTTCAAGATTGCTAAGCTCCAGGCCAGGCACAGTGGCCAGCACTTTGGGAGTCTGAGGCGGGAGGATCACCTGAGGTCAGGAGTTCGACACCAGCCTGGCCAACACGGTGATACCCCGTCTCTACTAAAAATACAAAAATTAGCCAGGCATGGTGGCGGGTGCCTGTAATCGCAGCTATGGGGGAGGCAGAGGCAGGAGAATCACTTGAACCCAGAAGGCGGAGGTTGCAGTGAGCCGAGATCACACCATTGCACTCCAGCCTGGGAGACAGAGTGAGACTCTGTCCCAGACAACCAAACAGATTCCTAAGTTCCAGAGAGCACACATACAGTAAAATGCGTACCTCTCCCACCTCCTTGTTTTCCTCTGTAAAACCAGATGATGTCACTGAGTTGCAGTGCACTAAGCCGGTAGCCCGCAGGTGATGGGGCAGTGCCTGGTGTGCCCCAGCATTTTCAGGGGTACTTTTCAGTCTGTAGAACGTTCCCTCTTGGCATGGTCAGGGCGTGTTGGTTTCGTGGGCCACCTGCTACGTCTTGTGCGTGGCCGGCTGTGTTTCAGGATTGTAAGAAGCACACCGGGATTCTACCTAAGGGCTTGGCTGTCGCTTCCCCAAACACAATCAGATATTTTGGGCCTGGTCGTACCGGATGCGTGGGCCTGTGACTCACGGTAGCTTCCCCTGGGTGGAGCCCCTGTGTCTATTATCAGTTTTCTTTTCTTTTTTCTTTTTTTTTTTTTAAACGGAGTCTCATTCTGCCACCCAGGCTGGAGGGCAGTGGCATGGTTTCGGCTCACTGCAACCTCCGCCTCCTGGGTTCGAGTGATTCTCCCACCTCGGCCTCCCGAGTAGCTGGGACTACAGGCGCACACCACCATGCCCTGCTATTTTTTTGTGTTTTTAGTAGAGGCGGGGTTTCACCATGTTGGCCAAGCTGATCTCGAACTCTTGACCTCGTGATCTGCCCATCTCAGCCTCCCAAAGTGCTGGGATTCCAGGCGTGAGCCACCATGCCTGGCTGTCTGTTAGCAGTTTTCTAAGAAGGAAGTATACATGACCATGCTTGGGGCAGCAGGTGCCCTTGCTTGGTTTCCAAGGTTGAATTCTGAAAAGCCAGAATTTTCTGTGTACAGCAGGGACATGTGATGCATGGAGCATACTTTCTTAAGGCACTCCTGGAATTCCAGAAGGAGGAAGAAAAGCCTTATGTCTACCAGTCTGAGCCTGTGGGTTTGTTAACGTGGGCTTCATAAAGGAACACTGGAATTAGCCAGGCGTGGTTGTGGGCACATGTAGTCCCAGCTACTGGGGAGGCTGAGGCAGGAGAATTGCTTGAACCCAGGAGGCTTCCCAGGTAGCTGGGACTACAGGCGCAGGCCACCACGCCCAGCTAATTTTTTTTTTTTTTTT